TGGATCCTATTTAAGTACCAAATCAAAAGAATCATCAATCTTGTCAGTTTTTTCCCCTGGTAGAAGATATTGGCTAATGCTTAGCCAATACAATCATAATTTTTCATCACACATCATTGTCGGCAGTAGAAGATACACCCAATTTATCCAACATTTAGAAATTGTGTTTAGTTCACCCATCCAATCCTTCTATAACAAAATTAATTGAATGCTTAATTACTTTAAATACAGTGTGATTGTGATGGTGGTCACCAGCCGTTGAAGAGCCTATAAAGAAAACTTGGCACTTTCTTGGAGTAGGCTTTGTGGGTTCTACTGCTGAAATGTCACAATGGCCAAAACCAATTAACCCACAAAATTTCTTTGTCAATTAATCAAATCAAAACTATTAGAGCTATCGAAATGGAACATTTGTTTAGATTTTTTAACTTTTTTAATCCTTTGCTAATGATCTAATGAACGTAAATCAAGGGTGAACTGTTGAAATGCTTTTCACTGTTAACTACAACTTTCCTGAGATTTAGTTCCTTCTAAAACATTTTTCAAATGTGGTTTCACATCTGTAAAGCTAATAGTCATATTCTAGCCATCCTCTTTTCATGGCTTTCGGTGAATTTTCTGGACTTTTTATGGAGAGTACTGAAGCTCCACATGTGTTTAACTTTATCATTTGGTGTCATTCTAAGCTATGATGCTGGAATGGAATAGAACTAGATTCTTATATAAAGATATATTGATAGATCCCAATTCATTGTTTTGTACCATAAATAGAGAAAATTAATAAATTAATTATGAATTTGGACATTTTTTTAGTTCATTATGCAACGGTGAGTTTGCCAACTTTGAGAGAAAGAAAAAACATTTCTTCAATTATAAGAACATGTTTTTTTTCTATATTTAGGACATAATTTTCTCTGTTTAGGCCCGTAACTTAGATTGATGATGCATATACATAACCATAAGATGAAGTTGTAGGTAAGATGGCAAGAAAAATAATATAAATGGTTCAACAACAGATGTAAGATTAAACACCTAGCTCTAATTATGAAATGGACATTAAGCAATAAGCACCAACTCTCTACCAACAAAAATAAGCCATTAACAATTTAATATAATTAATTTACAAACCATCAAATAAAAGTTGCTCCACCAACACACATTTCTTCCAAACAACACTCTTTTAAATTTCATAATTGTCCACACTTTGCTCTTCTTTGGAAAGAAAGAAATAAAATCTTCTTCTTTAGTTTATGATACTAATAATAATTATAGAACATAATTAGAAGAAAGATCGTTTGACCGGAGCTCTGCCAACAGCTCTCATCAAATTAGCAACTTCAAGAATTCTTGCCACTTTGGTTCCTCTCTTGGACTCCGATGACGCCCTTCTCTCTTCAGCTTTTCTGCGTGCTTTCACCACATCATTTTGCATCTTCTCCAGGGCTCTCGCTCTCTTCTCTTCTAGCTTCCTCTACACAGACATAAAATGATTAATTATTTATCTTAAACAGATGAGCTTAGGAACCAATAATATGAAATTTCTTTAGTATTAATCATTCCAACTTAAACATATGCTTAATTTTGCAGACTAAAAGATTAGGATAACTTTACTATTATTGGAGGATCAATAAATAATGGACTTAAACTGCTGAAAACTACTGATCATCAACCACATGCTTAATCAAAACTTTCACTAATTATAATCATTAGTTGCTAATAGATTCACTTTCTGCATGTAGAACTAAATACCAAATGATCATCAACTATCCATCATGCATGCAAAAGCCAAAAAGGCTTTTTAATTACTACTAATTAATTACCTCAACTTTCTTCATCCAAGAATTAGCCTTTTCCACTTGCTCACTCTCCCAACCATTAATTATCGCCTCTTCTCTCTTAAACCGATTATTAAGCTTCGAAATCTTCGCGTTTTGCCATGCTGATATCTTCGTCTCCACCTCTTCTTTCTTCACTCTCTGCACCGAAACATCACCATGAAAGCCGCCGGAACCCACCCGTCTCGAATCCAGACTCGACTCCAACGGACTATTATCCGGTACTATAGCCAAAGGATTAGTCTCTTCCGGTATCTCTTCCTCTCCAATCCTCGTCAAGTGACTATTATTCATATCGTTCATCATCACATCACTTTCATTAGTCTCTATAGCCGAACCCGCAAGAACCAAGGCGCTGAATTCTCTGCTCATGGTGGTAAAATTCTCACTTGCAGCTCCTTCACTGGAGATGGACATGGACGATGATGGATGGCTACTAGTCTCCCAAGTCTCTCTTCTACGGCCACGATTCAGCGGAAGGGGATGGGGTGGGGTCAAGGCATGGATGTCTCTGATGTTAGGTTCATCGTCCTGGTGACCCTGATCAGCTTGATCGTGATCGTGGTCGTGGTCGTTCTCGCCATTGGTGATGGCCCTTTGAGGGTTTAACATGTTAAAGTGTGGACAGTGGTGTGTTTGTATTTTTGTGCGCAAAAAGGGGGAAGGGAAGAGGGCGAAATGGAAGGCGGTTTATTTGTAGAAGTAAGAAGAGTTGAGGGTTTAAACATAGTCGACGGATAGTTTGGATTGGTGTTTGTTTTGACTGCTATCAAGAAATATGAACCACAGACATATGAGAGGAGAACTCAAGAATTACCAAAGCTTTAAGTAGAAAAATAGCATAATAAATGTAAATAAAGATGAAACTATGCGAGGTGGTGTAGTGAGATTAAAAGGAGCTTTAGATTTTGAATATTTTTGCTACAAATCAGATAAATCCTTCATCTTTTTATGTTATCGTTTTATTCCCCACATCTTATATAGATTTTTTATTTTTCTTTTTCATCTGAGCCCTTGGTTTGTACTTATTTGAGTTACCTTTTTGTAATTATTTGCACGGACCTATCAGTCAAACTAATTGTAAATCGCTATCAATACCAACAAGGAAAAGGTAATTGTACGTCTACATATTTCGAAGTTTTATTTATTAAATGTAAAATAATTAAGTAAGAATAATTTTAGTAAGTACGATCTTTGTTTTGGAGTCCCACATCGATTAGGCACGTTCAAGTTTACTAGTTTATAAGAGAGGGTAATCCTCCTATTCAACAAGATTTTATTGGGTGAGGAGTCAGGCCGATCTCAAATTTTATCATGGTATCAGAGCCCACCAAGTGAGGAGTTAGAGCCAATAATTATCTTCGTCAACAGGCATGACCCAACATATGAGCTTGACCGTGAGGGGGAGTGTTGGAGTCTCACACCAACTAGACACGCTCAAGCCTACTAGTTTATATATATATAAACTTCTCACCCAAAAGACCTTATTGAGTGAGAGGATTGCCCACTCTTATAAACCCAATGGCTTGAGCGTGCTAATCGATATGAGATCTCCAACACTCCCCCTCACGATTAAGCCCATATGGTCCACTTGCCTATGAATGGAAGTAGTTTGGCAACTCACCGCTGGTCAATCACTCAACTCAAATAGGGTTAGCTCTGATACCACTTGTTGGAGTTTGGCCTAACTCCTCACCCAAAAGGCTTTATTGGGTAAAGAGTCAAGCCCACCTCAAATTCTATCATGGTATCAGAGCCCAGGTTTAGTTAAGCTGAGTGTTTGACCACCGGTTAAGGAGTTAGAGCCAACAACTACCTCCGTCAACAGGCATAACTCAACATATGAGCTTGACTGTGAGGGGAAGTGTTGGAGTCTCACACCGACTATGCATGCTCAAACCTACTAGTTCATAAGAGAGGGTAATCCTCCCATTCAATAAGGTCTTATTGGGTGGGGAGTGAGGCCCACCTCAAATTTTATCACTTCCTTAAAAAACTTCCACATGCATCTTGTGATAAAAAGAGAGCAAAGAGGCTTGAACATACTACTCACTTAGCTGATAGGTTATTTGGTGTTTGTGTGTTGAATAATACTAGCCTTACAAAGAAGCATACAAAGAGACAAATCTAACCCTTAAAAGAAGGGAAAAAGAGAGAGAGAGAGAGAGAGAGAGAGAGTAATTTTAGAGTGAGACATATTATGGTAACGTAAATGCTTCAAATCACCAATGGAATCTGGTAGCTGCCTAACACAATAGCCGCTCAAACTTAAGGGCCTTAAGTATCTTAATTTTGGCAACATATCATGAAGGAGAGTGTTACTTGAGTAGCAAGATGCAACCCAATCTGATGTATGAACTGGTAGTGCTATGAATGTTCTTAAAGACTTCATCTTGTAGCAGACCTTAAATCTTTGAGGGGCTTCATATGTATTACGAGTGAATGTCACATGACGAGTTTTTTTGAAGAAATGTCTCCAACTCATCGCTATCGAACTTACCATCCAAATTATACTATATTTTCTCTGCAAGATGTTTAGCCAAATCATTTATAAGGTCATGCATAACAAACTGCATGTTGTTGCTACTTGATCGTTCAAAAAATGACCTTGCTAATAATTCATTAAAATAACAGCATCCCACATCTTCTTGTTTCTTTCCTTGTTGGTGTTGAAGAAAACCTTCAGCCATCCATAACAAAATCAACTCATCCTTCTCAAATTCATAATCTTTTGGAAAAATTGAGCAGCAAACAAACAATTTCTTCTAATAAGAAGGAAGATGATAGTAGCTCAGCCTCAAAGCTGGGAAAATCCCACTTCTATCATCTGGAAAATCCCACATCTTCCTAGTCGATACAGTTTCCCAATCACTAGGATCCAATTTGCTCCGCTGCTAAAGGCAGACCTTTACACTTTCTCACTACATCCTCACCAATCTTTTTAAGACGTGGGTGCTCATTTAGATTTCTACTTCCCAATGCATGTTTTACAAACAAAGAAAAACAATCGACGTTAGACAACGCCTTTAGATGATAAGTTGGAACAGTACCCATAATTGATGCAAATCTTCATTATGAGTTGTAACAATTGTTTTACTTCTAATATCACATGTTGTAAAGGGTGTTCTTAAAATATCTGATTTTTCATAATTCTCATTCCAAATGTCATCTAACAGAAGTAGAAACCTTTTCCCAGAAAAATGTTCCATTAGAAATATTATTGTTATTGCTTCCACTCATAGTCCCCAAAAGGTGGATCCCACTGTAATAGCCCATAATAATTTAAAAACATGTATTAAGATACGAAGGTTTCTTATTCCACAATAACGAAAACACTTTTTCACTCATTCATATACTAAAGGATTTCACGTAGAAAAGAAAATTTTTCATGCTAATGGATTTGAGTCTATAACCATAGGTATTTTTTCACTCTTTTATATACTAGGGGATTTTGTCGTGAGATAAATTAGACGACCCATGAGCCTTGGGTAATGTGAAGGGTCTTTAAGAGCTGGATCAACCTCTGAAGACGATACTTCATTATCGTATTCTTGAGAAGTTAGCTTGGAATTTTGTTCAATAGGAATAGCACTAGGTTTACAGGCTGATAAACCAAAGTCTAATATGAGCTGTAAGACGTACTTGCGTTGACTCAGAGAAATACCAGCTAGAGATTTTGTAATTTCAATCATCAACAAATATTTAGGCTCTCCTAGACCTTTGTTCTAGAAATGCTCATTGAGATGCTCTTTTAGGGTTTTAATTGCCGCCTCAACAAAATTCTTAAAAGTACACGCCGTTAACAGACGGGCGTTGAAGTCATCTCACAAAACCTAAAGCGTTTCGACTTTAGAATCTGATTACTCGGATCCACTTTAAAAATTGAGACTCACACCTAAGGCTGTATTTGTTTTATTATTTGGAGTAGTATTTTAAAAAAAAAGTAGAGTTGGGTTGTTATTATGAGATAAGATTTGAAAATTACAAAAACACCTCTAGGGTTGTTAATTTAGCTAAACACTCTCAATTAATAAAAAGTTTATAAATTGATAAAAACGTCCCCACCCGTCCACATTTGCCATATTCCGACTACTATTGTTGGAAGGTGGTCTAAATCTGGCGTAATAGCTCACGACCGGCTAAATTTGGTCGGTTAATTGATCGAAAAATGCCAGATTTACGGCCAAAGATATGGTCGTTGTTTACGACCAGATGTGCCCAAAGATCTGGTCATCAACGACTGGATCTTTGGTTGTATATTTGACCTTTTTTGGCTAGATCTATGATGGATTTGGTCAGAAAATGTCAGATCGATGCACTATCAATCAGATCTAGCTGAGAGTGCGCTATTACGCTAGATTCTAGCAANCTCTTCACGTGACTTTCCCACGTCAGCCCTTATTTTCCCAGGCATAACAATATTATAAATTTATAATACGATTACTGAATTAATTGTAATATTACATTATAATTAAAAGATTACTTAATTAATTATAATATTCTATTATAAACAAATTAATTATAATATTATATTAAATATTTATAGTATGATTAAATAATTAATTATAACATTACATAATTATATGATTATTTAATTGATTATGACATTATATTATAAACATTAATTATAACATTATATTATAAACAAATGATTGTTTAATTAAATGATTATAAATTTAATTAATTAAGCATTATATTATAGTTAAATAATTATTTAATTAAATTATAACATTATTACATTACAGTATATTATGATCATTTAATTAATCATAGCATTAAATAATTACATGATTACTTAATTAGTTATAAATTTATAACATTACATTATAAACATTAGTAATTTAATATATTATTATATTACTTAATTAAATGATTAAAAATTTAATTAATTATAACATTACATTATAGAGTTATATTATGATTGTTTAATCAATTATAACATTCCATTATAGATTTATAGTATGATTACTTAATCAATTATAACATTCCATTATAAACATTAGTATATTAATTAAATGATTAGAAATTTAATTAATTATAATATTAAATTATATATTTATAGTATGATTACTTAATTCATTATAACATTAGATTACAGTATGATTACATAATTAATTATAACATTATATAATTAAATGATTACTTAATTGATTATGATATTATATTATAAACATTAGTAATTTAATATATAAACATTAGCACAATACTCAATTAAATGATTAGAAATTTAATTAATTATAACATATTAACATTGCATTATAAATTTATAATACAATTACTTAATAAATTGTAACATTACATTATAAACAAATGATTACTTAATTAAATTATTACGTAATTAATTATAACATTATTACATTACATTATATTATGATCACTTAATTAATTATAGCATTACATAGTTAAATGATTACTTAATTAGTTATAAATTTATAATATTATATTATAAACATTATTAATTTACTACATTAGTCATTAGTACATTACTTAATTAGATGGTTAAAAAATCTAATTAATTGTAACATTACATTATAAACATTAGTACAATATTTAATTAAATAATTAGAAATTTAATTAATTATAACATTATATTATACATGTATAGTATGATTACTTAATTAATTATAACATTACATTATAATTAAATAATTACAATATTATTATATTACATTATAAACATTAACAATTTATAACATTAAATTAACAATTTATAGATGAATAATTGTTTGTGTCTTGATTTTGATTGAGAAATTTTATGTGAATTGTGATGAATTGATTGAGTTCAAGTGTTGCTTAGAGATTAGAGGATTTATGAGTTACATTAGACATAAATGAATGGGTAATCAAAATTTGTTAGGGGTATATTTGTAAACTTTTAAGGTATTTTTGTCATTTTTTAAACTAATAGGGGTAATTAATTTTTTATAGGGTACCTGGTAAAGGAACCGGAACCTGCATTTTAGGTTCCGGTTCCTTGAATTTAAGAACCTGCACTGTGTGGTTCCGGTTCCGATTCTTTTTTTGGGAACCTGTACTATGCAGTTCTGGTTCCCATGAAAAATGCAAAAGTACTCGGAACCGCTCACCCCTAATGAGAGTGATTAAAGAATGAGGAAAAAAAAAATTGTTCCTAAACCACCTTACCTCGTGTTTAAATCAGCTTAAAAGAATAAAATTACATATCTGTTCTTCAAAGAAAATCACGTACCTATCCTTCAAATGCCATCTAGACAAACTGGCTACCTTTCTCATAGCACTTCTCCACTTTTGCACCTTCTCCTCATCATCTCTAAACTCTTCTTCATGTTTATCAAAAGCTTTCTTTAAATCTCCCGTTTGTCTTCGTACATCTAACGAATTTATGTCGTAAAAAACTGGCACCAATGCACGATGTTTATCCACATTTAAGCAATCAACAATCATTACAAGTTCATCCAAACACCAAGTCGATGAGTCGTAATTTCTTGAAAAAATTATGATCCAAATCATGGAATCTTCAATTGCTTTCAATAGCTTAGACGAAATTTCCTTCCCTCTCTCAATACTTTCATGATCCCTAAATATTCTAAGGCCCTTTTGATCCAATGCGGTGCGCAGATGGTCAGTGAAATTCTTTCGAGTGCCTTCACCTTTAAAACTCAAGAATTTTTTCATGGATGATTAAATATGGCCATCGTGAAGCAGCTGGATCTTGATTATTACATAAATGCTTCAAGGAGCGGGATTTAGCAATCGTGATGGGACGACAGAAGCTTAGGAGTTGGTATGAAGAGGAAGAGACTTTTCAGTACACGTGTACACTTTCATGCTGTTGGATGATGATAAGACTTTTAGGCTTGTTTGTTTTAACATTTTTGCCAATCCTATTCCTATCCTGCCCGAAAACGCATTTCCTCATTCTCAAAATTCATTCCTATTATATTCAATTATTTTTAAACCTTCGTAATTTTGTTAATTTAACTAAACAATTTCAACAAAAAATATTTATAAATTAACAAAAATATCCATATTCATCCACATTTATCAGATTCTAGCCACCACCATCGAAAAGTGGTCAGAATCTGGCTTAATGACATTCTACCAACTAGATCGGTAGTGCACTGATCTGACATTTTCTGACCAAATCCACTATAGATCTGGCCGAAAAAGGATAAATCTATAGCCAAAGATCTAGTCATTGACGGCCACATCTGGTCGTCAACGATAGTCATATCTTTGACCATAAATCTGGCATTTTTCTGACCGACAGACCAATCCGACCACTTTCTGACGGTGGTGGCCAGATCTGGCAAATGTGGGTGGATGGAAATGTTTTTATCAATTTATAAACTTTTTATTAATTGAGGGTGTTTAGCTAAATTAACAAACCTAAGAGATGTTTTTGTAATTTTCAAATCATGTCTCGTAATAACAATCCAACTCTACTTTTTTAAAAATACTACTCCAAATAATAAAACAAATACAACCTTTGGTGTGAGTCAATTTTTAAAGTGGACCCGAGGAATCAGATTCTAAAGTCGAAACGTCTTAGGTTTTGTGAGACGACTTCAATGCTCGTCTGTTAATGGCGTGTACTTTTAAGAATTTTGTTGAGGCAGCAATAAAAACCCTAGCAGAGCATCTCAATAAGCATTTTTAGAACAAAGGTCTAGGAGAGATTAAATATTTGATGTGGATTGAAATTGCAAAATCTCCAACTAGTATTTCTCTCAGTTAATGCAAGTACGTCTTAGAGCTCATATTAGACTTTGGTTTATCAGTCTATAAACCTAGTGCTATTCCTGTTGAACAAAATTCCAATTTGACTTCTCAAGAATACGATAATGAAGTGTCATCTTCAGAGGTTGATCTAACTCTTAAAGACCCCTCACACTCCCAAAGGTTCATGGATCGCCTAATTTATCTTATGATGACATGGTCAAATATTAGCTATGCAATTCACATCCTCAGCCAATTTATGCATCAACCAAAACAATCTCACATGGATACAGCATCAAAAGGTTCTAAAGTACTTGAAAGGATTCCCTAGTGTAAGACTTCTCTTGCCTTTGAGATGGGAATATTGATTTAATAGCTTATTGAGATTCAAATTGGGCCACATGCTCTATGGCAAGAAAATCACTCACCAAGTTTTGCATCAAGCTTGGAGGATCGTTCATCTCTTGGAAAACAAAAAAGCAGTCGACGGTTTCTCTTTCATTAGAAGAAGCAGAGTATAGAGCCATGCATGGCCAAAACCACATGTGAAATCGCATGGATCCTTGGACTTCTAAGGGATCTAGAAGTTAAAAAAAAAAAAAAAGCCAGTCAACCTATACTATGACAACAAAATCGCAAATAATATTCCAACAGATCCAGTTTTCCATGAAAGAACTAAGCACATAGAGATCAACTATCATTTTGTTGGAGAAAAAGTTCAAGAGGGTATAATCAAAGCCATGCACATTTATACTATAGAACAGCCCGCAGACATTTTTACAAAACTATTATGCAGTAGACAACATTCATATCTTTTGAGCAAACTTGTAGTTTACGACATATACAAACCACAAGCTTGAGGGGAAGTGATGAAGACTATTTTGGTATGTTGATATTCACTTTGAATAACAAAAATTACATTTCTGATTTAGTGTGATTATGGGCTCTGAGGCGCTAGTTGTATTTCCTTGATTAACTCTTCCAACTCTGTATAAATTAAGCGCTATACAGACACAAAATATACAATAGAAAAATACAAAAAACATTCTGTTCATTATCTTCTTATTGGCATACTCAGGCAGCATAGTGTGCCTCTCTTGCCTTCATCTTCAAACTCTGACAACAATGTACATACTTTCATCAAGACTTGAATGGAACCTTGTCGAAATTTGCATTCTTTTGAAATGACATCCTAATGCATAGCCAATGCAACGATCCATGATTGATGAGAAGAATTCTAATATAATCCTAAATTCAAGTACGAAATCCTCTATAGTCACGTTTTCACAAACTTTCCTCTACATAATTTAATAAGTATAATTGCAAAAGTATATTTCTTCTCTTCAAGGCTTTTAACCTATTAATAGATATCCATTTAACGGGATCAATCAAAAACTAAATTCGGTTCAAATAAGGGGGATCAAACACAAATTTTAATTCAGTTCAAATAAAGTGGGATCGCACTGCAAAATGGGAAAATCTAGCGTATCTTGATCAAAGAATTCAGAACCAAACCTCAGATAGGGGAATGTATGCCATGCTTTTTCCCATGGTTTGGACGGAGCACAAGCTTGAGTAGCATGTTTGAAATAAAGGAATGACAAGATGTGATGTAATATGTGTTCTGGCAAATGAGATATCATATCCACACTCTCAATGGTCAGTACTCTCTTTCTTATTAGTCAAATTTTCTTGAAACAATAAATCATATTTATATTTTGAACCAATTATTTGAAACAATATGAAATCAAGACAGAAAACACACACAAACCACAAACAATAAAGAGAGAGAAAATATATGATTTATTCTGATTCACCTAATTAACAAGTTACGTCCAATATAGTCAATATTATTGCAATATTGTCTCACCTCTCTCATTACAATGAAAGTACGTTTGGTTTAGGGAATGTTATATTAATGGAAAGTTAGATTATCTTAAAAATTATTGAAAATATTTAGGAAAATGTATTTGGTTAGTTAGAATAAAATGATGAATATATTATATTAATATGTTTAGTTGAGAGGAATAAATTGGTAGGTATGTTATTTAAATTACTAAATTGCCCTTTTTTTAAATATTAATATAATATTATTTTTATTATTAATTTTTGAATAATTTCTTTTAACCCCCAACATTTCAGATTTAGCTAAAACACCCTATCTTATATAAAACTTTAATTAATAACAAAATCTCTCCCACCACCCCAAGCCATTGTCGGCCACCGCCAAAAGTCGCTGGAAATCACCGGGAGTCCCCAAGAGTCATCGAGAGGCTATGATATGGTCATCTCTAACCATATTGATGGTCGAAAACGACTCGGCTAGATCTACTCCATTTTGGCCGTTTTCGGCCATCAATATGGCTAGAAACGACCGTATTGGAGCCTCCCAGCGACTTCCGATGACTTTAGGCAGTGGCCGGCTGTAGTTGGCTAGTTGCTGGTGGTGGTCTGCAATTTGTTTTAAATATAAGGGTATTATTGTCCAAAAACTTAATTAAATAAGGATAAAATTATAATTGTGGATTAATATAAATTGATTTTAAAACAAGGGCATTGTTGTCCAAAAATTTTATTAATAAGGGATAAAATTGTAACAAAAATAAGATAACCAAGTAATCTTACAATACCTAAAAAAATGGAGGTTATCAGATTAATTACCTTCAATATTACCAACAATAACTACTATCAATATTGAAAGATTATCGGAATCTTATATTACTTGACAACCAAACATGGTAATTAAGTACTATAAGATATGTCTGCAAAAATAGTTAATCTTGATAATATTCAGGTGATATTAAATATCATACATGATTCACTACAAAATATTGACATCAAATATCAAAGACATGTCTGCAAAAATAATATCAATTGTAAAAAGTGATCACATCATTTTTCTATATTAAATTTATACACTAATTTTGTACGTATAATCTTACTCTATAACTATTATTGTTGGAATCTAATATTATCAAATTTTAAGTATAAAGATGACACATATCTCTATCAATCTTTTTTGAAGTACTCAATGGAATTAATTATTAAACTGCATGCCAATACTAAATGGAAACTAGAGGATGTTTCATTATTGAATAATATATTGTTATTTACATAAAAAATATTTGTTATGCCTGAAAAATATAGAGCTGATGTAAGGTCCAATCAGCATGCAAAAGTCAGAGCATGGGTACACCCACAGCTAAGTCACGTGAGGAAAGGGGTAGTCTTCTTCTGTCAGAATAGTAGGTGCGCGCCAAACCAGTCATAAGCTGTGGTGATTCCACGTGTCCAATCCATGCTCTAAATCGCGTAAATTACTCTAGAAGGTGGGCAATGTTACATAAAGAAGGATTTGTACACTTAATCCCACCAACTCATAGATTCAGTAATCATTAGCCTAATGTATCTCGCTATAAATAGAGAGCTCCTCTCCTATTCAAAGGATGGGCTCATTTTTACTCTTAATTAGCTACCCTCTCTCTCTATAATATAGTTCTCTCTCTCTTGTACTATCATTGGTAAGTCAGTCCGCTAACGCGACCTGCCCTTATCATTAATATAAATATTAGTGGACGTAGGACTTGCTACCTTAGCATCCGAACTACTTTAAAAGCTGTCCCCATTGCATTTATTCTCATTTTTCTTGCATTCACGTGTGTCTTCTAAGCCAGCTCAGCATTGCACACGTGCGTTTAGTTGGTGTAAAAATCACGCATCAACAATATTTATAAATTTTGAAACTTTTTAGAAACTAGGAGACTAGGAGTGCGTTTGGGATATGTCACTTAATAGCTCATTCTTGAACTACACCAACGAACTGTTTGGTAAATTTGTTTGAAAATCCCATTACCCAACCAGATTACTATATAATCTGAACCTTGTAGGGCCGGAGGTGACCCTAGCATACCACCTTTTACCTGCGATGGTTGATGGCAAAATCTCGAAACCCTTATGTAATCTTTGGTTACTTCACTTCTTGTTGATAAAGAAAAAGATAAATGTCGGTTCTCTCTTTGTTTTGAACTGCAAAAATTGGATCTCTCTTTTTTGCAGCTGGTGCGACGGGGAATCTCAAGGGGCAAGCTCCAAGTTATTGATTTTGGGGGGATCAGATTTAATTTTAGGGTTCAAAAATTTATGTTAGATTGAAGGATTTATTTAAGTTATTAATTCACTATTGGGTTTGAGCTTAAGAATATGAATTTGTGTAGTATTATGTTTATCTTTTAAACCTAATATATAAACATGCTTTTCTTTTGTATGAGAGTGATAGCAAATTACTTTTGAGGGGCGTTTGGTTGGGGTTTATACGAGATTACTCAGATAATATCATCTTATAATATTTGATTACCATGTTTGATTGTCAAGTAATATAAGATTCCGGTAATCTTTCAATACTGATAGTAGTTATTATTGGTAATATTGAAGGTAATTAATCTGATAACCTCAATTTTCGTAGGTATTGTAAAATTACTTGGTTATCTTATTTTTGTTACAATTTTATCCCCTATTGATAAAAAATTTAGACAATAATGCCCTTGTTTTAAAAACAATTTACATAAATCCACCGTTACAATTTTATCTTTGTTTAATTAAGTTTTTGGACAATAATGCCCTTATGTTTAAAACAAATTACAGACCATCGCCAGTAGCTGGCTAAGCACCGCTGGCTATCGCCAAAGTCATTAGAAGTCGTTGGGAGGCTCTGATATGACCGTTTCTAGCCATATTGATGGCCAAAAACGGCCAAAATGGAGTAGATCTAGTCAAAAATAGCCAGAATAGATTGGCCATTTTCGGCTAGATCTACTCCATTTTGGCCATTTTCGGCCATCAATATGGCCAAAAACGACCATATCATAGCCTCCTGGTGACTCTCGAGGACTCCCAACGATTTCCAACGACTTTCGGTGGTGGCCGGCAGTGGATTGGGGTGGTGGGGGAGATTTTGTTATTAATTAAAGTTTTATATAAGCTGGGGTGTTTTAGTTAAATATGAAATGTTAGGGGTTAAAAGAAATTATTCAAAAACATATTCATCAATTTATTCTGACTAAAATCTAACTTTCCATTAATATAACATTCCCAATAATCCAACATTTCCTAAACCAAACACACTCTCATTGTAATGAGAGAGGTGAGACAATATTGCAATAATATTGACTCTGTTGGACGTAACCTGTTAATTGGATGAATCAGAGTAAATCACACATTTTCTTTCTCTTTACTGCCTATGGTTTGTGTGTGTTTTCATATTACTCTGTATTGTTTCAAATAATTGGTTCAAAATATAAATATGATTTATTGTTTTAGGTAAATTTGACTAATAAGAAAGAGAGTACTAACCATTAAGAGTGTGGATATGATATCTCATTTGCGTACTAACCATTAAGAGTGTGGATATGATATCTCATTTGCCAGAACACATATTACATCACATCTTGTCATTCCCTTATTTCAAACAAGCTGCTTAAGCATGTGTTCCGTCGAAACCATGGGAAAAAGCATGGAACACATTCCCCTATTTGAGGTTTGGTTCTGAATTCTTTGACCAAGATACGTTGGATTTTCTGATTTTGCAGTGTGATCCCACTTTATTTGAACCGAATTAAAATTTATGTTTGACCCCCCTTTATTTGAACCAGATTTAGTTTTTGATTGATCTTCGTTAAATGGATATCTATTAATAGGTTAAAAGCCTTGAAGGAAGAAATATACTTTTGCAATTATACTTATTAAATTATGTGGAGGAAAGTCTGCGAAAACGAGATGGTAACTATAGAGGATTTCGTACTTGAATTTAGGATTATATTAGAATTCTTCTCATCAATCTTGGATCGTTGCATTGGCTATGCATTAGGATGTCATTTCAAAAGAATGCAAATTTCGACAAGGTTCCATTCAAGTCCTGATGAAAGTATGTACATTGTTGTCAGAGTTTGAAGATGAAGGCAAGAGAGGCACACTATGCTGCCTGAGTATGCCAATAAGAAGATAATGAACAGAATGTTTTTTGTATTTTTCTATTGTATATTTTGTGTCTGTACAGCGCTTAATTTATACAGAGTTGGAAGAGTTAATCCAGGAAATACAATCAATGCCTTAAAGCCCGTAATCACACTAAATCAGGAACATAATATTTGTTATTCAAAGTGAATATCGACATACCAAAATAGTCTTCATCACTTCCTCTTAAGCTTGTGGTTTGTATATGTCGTAAACTATAAGTTTGCTAAGAAGATATGAATGTTGTCTACTGCATAATGGTTTTGTAAAATGTCTGCAAGCTGTTCTATAGTACAAATGTGCATGGATTTGATTATACTCTCTTGAACTTTTTCTCCAACAAAATGACAGTTGATCTCTATGTGCTTAGTTCTTTCATAGAAAACTGGATCTGCTGCAATATTATTTGCGATTTTGTTGTCGTAGTATAGGTTAACTGGCTCTTTTATTTTAACTTCTAGCTCCCTTAGAAGTCCAAGGATCCATGTGATTTCACATGTGGTTTTGGCCATGCATGGCTCTATACTCTGCTTCTGCTAATGAAAGAGAAACTGTCGACTGCTTTTTTGTTTTCCAAAAGATGAGTGATCTCCAAGCTTGATGCAAAACTCGGTGAGTGATTTTCTTGTCTAGAGTATGTGGCCCAATCTGAATCTCAATAAGCTATTAAATCAAGATTCCCATCTCAGAGGCAAGAGAAGTCTTACCTAGGGCATCCTTTCAAGTACTTTAAAACCTTTAATGTTGCATCCATGTGAGATTGTTTTGGTTGATGCATAAATTGGCTGAGCATGTGAATTGCATAGCTAATATTTGACCATGTCATTGTAAGATAAATTAGACGACCCATGAGCCTTTGGTAAGGTGAAGGGTCTTTAAGAGTTGGATCAATCTCTGAAGACAATACTTTATTATCGTATTCTTGAGAAGTCAGCTTGGAATTTTGTTCAACTAGAATAGCATTAGGTTTATAGGCTGATAAACCAAAGTCTAATATGAGCTCTAAGACGTACTTGCATAGATTGAAAATACTAATTGGAGATTTTGCAATTTCAATCCCCATCAAATATTTAGGCTCTCCTAGACGACTAGACCTTTGTTCTAGAAATGCTTATTGAGATGCTCTTTTAGGGTTTTTATTGCCGCCTCAACAAAATTCTTAAAAGTACACGCCATCAACAGACGAGCGTTGAAGTCATCTCACAAAACCTAAGATGTTTCGACTTTAGAATTTGATTCCTCGGGTCCACTTTAGAAATTGAGACTCACACCTAAGGCTGTATTTGTTTTATTATTAGGAGTAGTATTTTAAAAAAAGTAAAGTTGGATTGTTATTACGAGACATGATTTGAAAATTATAAAAACACCTCTTAGGTTTGTTAATTTAGCTAAACACCCTCAATTAATAAAAAGTTTATAAATTGATAAAAACATCCCCATCCACCCATATTTGCCAGATCTGGCCACTACCGTCGGAAAGTGGCCGGAATCTAGCGTAATGGCACACGGCTGGCTGAATTTGGCCTTTTCTGACCAGATTTACGGTGGATTTAGTAAAAAAAAGGCCCGATTGATACACTACCGGTCGAGATTTAGCTGGTAGTACGCCATTACGCTAGATTCTGGCTACCTTCCGATGGTGGTGGCTAGAATCTAACAAATGTGGGTGAGTGAGGATGTTTTTATTAATTTATAACGATTTTTTATTGAGAGTATTTAGTTAGATTAACAAAACTACATAGGTTTAAAAATAATTGAATAAAATAAGATTGAATTATGAGAATAGGGAACATATTTTTGGGTAGATAGGAATAGGAATAGGATTGGCAAAAATCTATCATCATCCAACGGCATAAAGTGTACGCGTGCCCCACGTTTTGCCTTCCTCCAAAGGTCACCATACGTAAAGCCAGGGGTAAGTTAAACACGTACATTCCGAGTCTTTTCCTCTTTATACCAACTCTTAAGCTTCTGCCGTCCCATCAGGATTGCTAAATCCCGCTCCCTGAAGCATTTCTGTAACAATCAAGATCCAGCTGCTTCACGATGGCCATATGCAATCATCCATGGAAATACGATGTGTTCTTGAGTTTTAGAGGTGAAGACACTCGGAAGAATATCACCGACCATCTGCGCGCCACGTTGGATCAAAAGGGCCTTGGAATATTTAGGGATCTTGAAAGTATTGAGAGAGGGAAGGAAATTTCATCTGAGCTACTGAAAGCAATTGAAGATTCCATGATTTGGATCATAATTTTTTCAAGAAATTACGCCTCATCGACTTGGTGTTTGGATGAACTTGTAAAGATTGTTGATTGCTTAGACGTGGATAGGCATCGTGCAGTGGTGCCAGTTTTTTACGACACAAATCCATCATATGTACGGAGACAAATGGGAGATTTCAAGAAAGCTTTTGATAAACATGAAGAAGATTTTAGAGACGATGAGGAGAAGCTGCCAAAGTTTAGAAGTGCTTTGACAAAGATAGCCAGTTTGTCTGGATGACATTTGAAGGATAGGTACGTGTTTGAAGGACAGATATGTAATTTTGTTCTTTCAGGCTGATTTAAACACGGGGTAAGGTGTTGAGGAACAGTGTTTTTTTTCCCCCTCATTCTTTAATCACTCTCATAGTCTAAGACAACCATATAAGAAGACAGAGAAAGTGACAAATTAAACCACGCTATAAAATTTTCAAGATTGATTGCTTTTATTATTTGCAACAAAAGTTATTTTAATATTTTTCATTGCGTTAATGAGTTATTTTGGGTTGGAATTGCAGGTGAAATCTAACTTTTCAAAAGTTTTATATACCCTCGTTCATTCACTTTGTATCAGTGTGGAAGAGTTTGCAAATAGTGTTAGTATGTTTAGCATTATTCATATGATGTATATGCGTAGAAGATGGGTATAGGGCACTTTATTGGGTGCAAATAACCTCACTCCTATACAAATATACAATGCATATTGTTATTGTTATCTCATTTCAATATAATTTATTGTCAAAATAGTGGGCGAGTGTCGAAAATGTGATGAAATATAAATTAAGCATGATACCATTTTGGTAACATACTAAATTTCGACTGGTAAATGCTATCATATTAGTTTGTAGCTGCTAGAGAACTTTTTGTGGGGTTCCTACCATAGTTAGTAAGACTTCCCTAACAGTAATAGATGTGGGAATTTTATTTGAATGGTTTTTGGAGCAAAATTATAATGATACATTGTAATAAAGTGCATTAGCTAATTTTAATTTAATGCTTATAAGATTATATAATTGAGATTGAATGTTAGTTCACATATGTGATGTTTATTGGAAAGCATTCTCTAGTAAAGTTTTCGGTCTAATAATGTGGTATGACCCATAAACAGAGCTGTTAGAATTTAAATAGATAACAAAACTATTAATTCCTTTTTCTTCAATGTTGTATTAAATTTGAATGATGATTACCATTTGATGCACCAAAAGGCTCATATAAAATGTAATCAACTGAGGGAACACGGGTGTCTAGCATCATATAAATGCAAAATGCAATTGATAGCTTGAAGGATTCAGTTATTATTATGAAATATTTGGAGTTAAGAATTAATTATTGACTTAACTACTCGCATTGACGCCATATCAAAAATTCTATGTCTAATTACTAGCTTCAACATTTATGATTTGTTATTAATTTGTTTCTATCCCCATGGTTTTCTGTCATTGTAACACTAGATTTTTCTTCTTTTTCAATCTGTAGGCATGAGTCAGAATTTATTCAGGATATTGTCATGAACATATTGAGTATATTAAAACCTTTACGGTCTATGATGTGTGAGGACATTGTAGGAATAAGTTCTCCCCTGGAGAACCTGATGAAGTTTATAAGGTGTATGCCTGATGATGTTTGCATGATAGGAATCTTTGGAATGGGAGGGGTGGGCAAGACAACGATTGCAAGAGTTGTTTATGAGTTGCTTTCTTATGAATTTGAAGGTCATTGTTTTCTTGCGAATGTTAGAGAAATTTCTGAAAAAATGGTTTGACTTCTTTACAAAAGCAACTTCTTTACCAAATTCTAATGGAAACTCATTATAACATAAACGATGTATATGATGGAATAAGTGTAATAAGAAGTAGGCTACAACATAGGAAGGTTCTTGTCGTCATCGATGATGTTGATAATGTAAATCAACTGAACATATTTGTTGGAAAACATCATTGGTTTGGTTCGGGCAGTAGGATCATAATTACAACAAGAGACAAACATTTGTTGTTGACACATGCAGTGGATGAGTTATACAGTGTTGAGGATGATGCACTTGAACTCTTTTGGTTGAAGGCCTTTAAGAGTTGTCATCCTCCGAAAGACTATGTGAAAATTTCCAAGCGTATTGTGAAATATGCTGGTGGTCTTCCAATAGCTCTCCAAGTTTTGGGTTCTCTTTTGTTTGCTAGAACTATAGATGAATGGAAATGTGCACTAGAAAGATTAAATAAAGATTTTGAAAAAGAAGTTCTAGACGTACTTCAAATAAGTTTTGATGGGTTGAAAGAAACAGAAAAGAAAATATTTCTTGATATTGCATGTTTCTTTAGAGGGGAAGATATGGACTATGTTACAAAAATTTTGGACGGCTGTGGTTTTTACCCAAGTATTGGAATACGTGTTTTTGTTGATAAATGTCTACTAACTATTTTAGACAACAACAAATTGTGGATGCATAATCTATTACAAGAAATGGGCAAACAAATTGTTAAGAGACAATCGATTGAGAATCCTGGAAAACGGAGTAGATTGTGGGAGGAAGGAGATATCAATTATGTATTGACCAAAAATACGGTAAGTTATTCTGTAGAAAAGTGCAGTTTCAGTTCATAATCTCTTTTAACCATTTAAACCTCTACACAATTCTTCAACTCCTTATATTAAAGTTATTAAATAATCGTTTGCTTCTATTTTTTTAGGGAAGTGAAGTTGTTGAAGGCATAAAATTGGACGATCCTAAAGAAGTGTTGCATTTGAGTGCTAAAGCATTTTCAAAGTTGATCAATCTAAGATTGCTAAAAGTCAGCAATGTTCAACTTCCCAAAAGTCTTAAGTATGTTTCTAATGAGTTACGGTTGCTCGAATGGCATGGATATCCTTAAAAATCCTTGCCGTCAAATTTGCAAATGGATAGAATTGTTGAACTTAAAATGCAGTCTAGCAGCATTGAACAACTATGGCAGGGAATAAAGGTAAGATTTTCTGTTTCAAATTTATAGTTTATTGATAACATTATGCACACATCCCTTGAGTAATGTGGTAAATTAATTGTAGGATTTTTTTTTTTTTTTCCTTTTTTGTTTGATTTTCATAGCCTTTACACCAGCTAAAATCCATCAATCTAAGTTTCTCCCAGAAGTTGAACAAGACACCAGATTTCACAGGGGTCCCAAATCTAGAGTATCTAATTCTTGAAGGATGCATAAAGTTGGGAGAGATTCACCCATCTGTGGTAGTCCACAAAAAGCTTATTCTGTTGAATCTGAAGGATTGCAAAAGTCTTACTACTCTTTCAAGTAAAATTAATATGGCATCTCTTAGAAAACTTATACTTTCTGGTTGCTCAAAGTTAAAAGAGTTTCCACAGAATGTTGGACGTATGGAATGTCTGTCAGAGCTGTTTTTAGATGGAACTGTGATTAAAGAACTTTCGTCCTCAGTTAAACGTTTGACTGGACTTGTTTTGCTGAATTTGAAAGATTGCAGTCAGCTTGAGAGTCTTCCAAGTAATCTGAATTATTTAAAAACTCTTAGAACTCTCAATCTCTCTGGTTGTTCTAAACTTGAAACTTTGCCAGAGAATTTGGGACAAGTAGAAAGTTTGGAAGAGCTTGATGTGAGTGGAACTGCTATAACGCAACCAGAGTCATCTCTATTTTTTTTATGGAAAATCTTAGAGCATTATCTTTTCGTGGATGCAAAGGATCAGCACCTAAACCATGGTATTTGTGTTTATCCTCCAAGTTGATGCCAAGAAGTTATAAACATACCAGGACTTTGATGTTGCCTTCTTTCTTGGGTTTGTGCTCTTTAACAAAATTGGATCTTAGTGACTGTGATCTCGGGCAAGGTTCAATCCCCAACGATTTTGGCAAATTGTTTTCATTAGAGGAGTTAAAGCTAAGTAAAAACAATTTTGTTTTTCTACCAACAAGTATCAACCGTCTTTCTAAGCTTCAATGTCTTAAGTTGGAGGGTTGCAAGAGATTTCAATCTGTGCCAGAACTTCCACCCAATATTAATACGATTAGACTTGATAATTGTCCTTCACTTGAAACATTATCAAATGGATTACAATTTCGCAATTCGGAGTTTGCATTGATTTCTTGCATTAATTGCTTAAAACTGTCTGATTGCTGCAGCATGGGATTGTTAATGTTGAACTGATACGTTAAGGTTGCTCTCTCTCTCACTCTCTCTGTCTCTCTCACACACACATTAAACATTATTCGACAATATGACTTTTTTTTTTTTTTTTTTGGTAGGCAATGTCGAATCCAAGAGTGGAGTTTAGCATTGTTGTTCCTAGAAATGAAGTTCCTGAATGGGTTAAGCATAAGAGTGAGGATTCTTCGATTAGAATAACAAGGCCTTCACATGAGTATACTAGAAAATTGGTGGGATATGTTGTGTGCTCTGTTTTTGTTGTTCATAAGCACCAACCTGCCCTTAGTGATGCTTTTGGCACACATAAGCTTTTCTGCCATTTGAAAGCTGATGAAAAACCTTCTTCTACATCTCATTTTATTTATTTCGAAGATAAGTTCGGCGAGGCTGTGTCGGGCCATCTATGGTTGCTCTATTTTTATTGTCATGACTACTTTGATTTAGAGTGGCATAATGAATATAAACACATTGAGTTTTTATTTTAATCTCAGTGGGGGGCAGGATTGGAGGTGAAGAGGTGTGCGGTTGTCCAATATATGAACAAGAATTCAAAGAGTTATGCTAAACAATGAACCAATATAGTAGCTCTGCTTTTGAGGATTTGAATGAGTATTTTGTAGGATTGAACTACAACTAAACGAAGTCTAGCTGACCATGGTAGGGCAAAACCTAGTGGAAATGGCTATTATGATGAGGAACCCCTTACCAAGATTTAAAGAACTTAAATTCTCTTGAAAGGGCAAAGTGTATTTTGGTGTTGTTGGAAGCCCAAATTTTTAGAATGCTCAGAAGAACAACTATATATAGACAAACAAATTGTGGCTATACTTTTAAACGTTGAGGAAGTGCAAGCTGCTACAACATCTTTCTTAAAAGTTCTCTCAGCTTCTCCTTCAGCCTGTTCTGCAAATCAAAAGTCTCAGTTGTCCAGGTATGTTGAGGCTCAACACTTTCTGTTATTGTTACTTTTTCTATTTTATTGACAGCTTTACGTGCTTTTATGGTATAGGAAAGGTAGGGTAGAAGGAATGTTTTTATTTTTGAGAGGAAACATGTCAGTATCATTGATTTAAAAATTCCAAAAAAAGT